CTCCGCGCAACGGGGGATGATCGCACCACGTTGTGTTAAAATGGTCAAGCTTCCTCGAGGCAGTTACACAGTGCTTACAACTGTTTCTGGAAGTGAAAGCCCCAGAAAAAAAATTAAGTCATACGCAGCTTTCATCCGTACGCAAGGAAGTAAGCACAAGATGCCGAACACCCTTAGCAGGATGCAGCTCACCCTTCATGCGACACGCCGAATACCCCAGGGCGTTTCGCGTTTGGTGATGTGAGACCCTGTTCCGGGGAAACCCCGACGTGTTCCGCCCCGGCTTTGTGGGGATGGGGGGTCAAGGGTCAAAGGATTACGCCACCCAGGATTAGGGGTCCCCCCCCCCCCCCCCCCCCCGATTAGATTATTTCCTGCCGGTGTTCGTTCGGCCTCGATCTCGCTCGTCCATGAGCTTCGCCCACAGTCGATCGCTGCAAAAGTGCGCCGCCGCGTATCCGAGCGCGTCCTTAATCTCCGCGTCCGCCTGACGAACAATGGCAGTGTACAGAGCGGGTCCGGAGATTTGGAGCGTCAAAATCGGGTTGAGGATCAGCTTCTTATCACATTTCGTCGCCACTAGCTGATATATATAGCTTAGCGTAAGGATCCACTGCTGAGGTGTGATTTCTTTTAACCCAGTTTTCTTTCTTTTCGTGAAAACGCGAGCCTCTGTTTCTTGACAAAATGTATATATATATCGTATCTGCGGGCCCGTAGTGTAGTGGGTGGGATTACATGGGGGCGCGACAGAAATAGCGCAGATAGGTCGGGATGGGTGCATTTGCAGCTGTGGTCAGACGGGGTGGATTGCCCTAGGATATGTAGTTGTAGCATCCGGTCTTTTTCTGTGATTAAAATCGATGTCGATGAAACACCATCGATCATTTCTGGCGGGCGTATTGTATGCACATTGTATGGAGACTTTGCAAAAAGATGGTGGCTGCTACGAAAGGACGGGGAGAGAACTTGGGCAAAGAAAAAATTATGTTTCGAACGCGAAGCACAGGAAGCCGCGACCAAGAGCTCCTAGAAAGAAATTGTCGGCGGGCCGTCTACTTTAGAACAACGGCCGGTGTAGGTTCACGAGTTCACGACGGATGGATGGATGCATGAATGCGTGGTTAAACATACGCCCCCTCCCCAAAAGAAAGCCACCGGCTGTGAAGTCGACCCACACCTCTCATCCCCCTCCGCCCCCCCGGACTATCCGACACGGCCCAACTCCAGATGGCAGGCTACAAGCCCAACACACCAGCAAAATCCTACTCCTACTACTGCTGCAACCGGCAACGATGAAACAACCACCACCAGCAGCAGCAACAACATCAACAGCTAGCTAATGGCTAGCTTACCCCAGCCTCCAGCAGCGCCCGCATCGCGTCTGCCTCGTCGTGCATCGCGGCCAGGTGCAGCGGGGTGTAGCCGCACTTATCCCTGCCGTCGACCTTTCGATTCGAGGACAACATCCGACCAGAAATAAATTTGTCGAAGCGCAACAACGCCATGCGTCACGCACGCGGCGGGCGGCGGAGAGGCCGGTGACAAAAGGGGTAAACAGAAAGGAGACGTTGGACCGCAGAGAGGAGACCTAGTGCTGCAGGGGGTGTTTCGAATTGCGGTATTTAGTGCACCCGGGAACCCACCACTGGCACACCACGGTGGTTCCACACTTGCAGAGGATGCCACAGTCGTTGTGAGCAACAACCTCAGCAAAAGGGCATGCGGCCGTCGGAAAGAAAATCGCCCCAACATCTCGCTTGCCCTTGCACACGTCTCGACATGTGCTCTTAGCTAGCTCCCGAAGTGGGTACACGGATTCAATTCACGGAGTCGTAAATATCTGTTTTGCGACACTCGTCCAAGCATTTTGTGCTCTCATGCTTGTAACACAACAAGTCCACCTCTTCCACAGACAAAAACCATTCGCTTCGCTCACCTTGACCTTCTTGGACACGAGAAGCTTTACGGCCTTATCCCTCCCTCTCGCCGCGGCGCGATGCATCGCCGTCCGTCCTGAAGAACCGCCAGCCAGGGAGGCAGAGAGACAGACGGGAGTGCGGGCGGACAGATACGACGCCGGTTGGGCAGAAAGAAACGACATCGCGAGGATTTGCTTCCGGGGCGCAGTTTTCTGATTGGTGAAAACAAAACTGCGGCGAAATTTTGAAACCGGCGCGACCGAAGATCCTTGGATGACGGGTGGACTCACCGATGGTCAATCGTGGGTGGACGTAATCTTGGTAAATCGATGGCTGAGAGCGTGCCGTAAAACACAAAACAAAAAAAAACGGATGAGGCGGCGGGTTTGGCTGCGGCCGGGGAGGCCGCGGCTACACATGTGGAACACTGGTGCTCACAAACAGATGCATGCATCCTTCTTACACGGCATTGGTAGCATAGAGCCCATCAACTCGAGAGGCGTCTGCCGGTATTCGCCGGGGTAGGCAAGCGGCATCCATCGACCACGAAACTTTGGGGGGAAGACGTATCGACTCGAGCAAAATCTCGTTGCCTGATGCCAGGGTATAGGAGAGGTCACTGCTAGCCGGGCGCTTGCTCTGCGGTTGGGTTTTCAGGGGCGGGCGTGAACAAACCTGGCTCGGGTGTCACAAAAGCGCCATTTTGCTCTCGGTTGCTCTCTCCCTCCCTCTCCCTCTCTCTTTTTTTGCCCATCTCTCTTTCTCTCTCTCTCTCTCTCCCTCTCCCCCTCCATCTCCTCTCTCTCTCTCACCCCCCCCCCTCGAACCCCACGGGGGTTGCGAACGGGGGGGGGGTTTCGGCGGGTGGCAAAAAAGGTGGAAAAAAAAGCGCCCCCCAAGGGGGTTGGCAAAGGGAAAGGGGTTTCGGCGCGAGGGAAAGAAGTTGTAAAAAAAGACAAATCACTTAGGGAAATCGGAAAAGAGGGGAACGGTTTTTTTTTAAAACGGGTTTTTTTTAGGGGGAAAAAAAAAAAG